AGCCTCCTTTTAAAGAGCGAAGAAAAGAAAAAAAACCCACTCCATTTTTCCATCGTCAAGCAGAGAAATCTTTTGTGCTGCCTCTTAAAGGGACCTTGAGTAACTGCTGAGAAATCGTCATCAGTTACATCACCTCTAAAGCGGCTGCTGCAGGCACCTGACAGCTTTGTCCCACTGTTACTCTGGGGAATCATTATGCTCCAAATTCCTCGCCCTTGGAGAAAGCCTGCATGGCTCGCCGGGAGGGAGGAGCCACTGCGCAGTTTGAGATGCTGTGAGTGGCAGAATGGGATCGGGAAGAAGGGCTGAGGTTCCCAGCAGATGGGGTAGAGCAGGGGACACATCCTGGAGTTTCCTAACCTCATCCCAGTGGCGAGGCTGGGTTCATCAAGCCGTGCAGGACCCGAGCATCTTTCTGGGAATGAGCTGAAGGCGCTGCAGTAGCATCGCCTCGGGCCGGAGAGCTGCCGTTGCCTGGCAGCTGCGGGTTTCCAGGGAAACCAGAGGTGCTAACTTGTTAATGAGCCCCGCGTCCCTGATTGCTGCTGCAAAATAATAATAATAATTAGTAATGGTCCTGTGATTTAGGAATCCCTCAAACAGCATGAGCCAGCCGAGGGGAGTTCGCTAAATGCTGAAGCATTTGAAAGAAATGAGGGGATGAGGATGGAAAAAGGGTGTGGGGCTTGGAAGAACTGCTGCGGTTTGCATCTTAGGAAGTGTCTGGAGAGCTGGGGTCCAGTGGGGTCCTGCCAGCATCCCAGCCGTGAGCCTGAGGCTGGGTGCAGGGCTGACCTGGATGGATAGAGGAGCCCTGGCCAGGCAGCATCTCAGTGCAGGGCTCACAAGGCACAGATATTTCCAGGCTGCAAGGCGAAAAGCCAATCACTTGGGTCAGTGCCACTGAGTCCCTGGTGGAAGTGGCAGTTCTTCAGGAGTGGCTGCTTTCAGATTACTGGGGACAAATAAACAAATGTTTGCCTGTGGTGCTCTTATCCCTTGGTAAACTCAAGGTGGAGATGGCACCAGAAGAGTGTGCTCCTGGGATGAGAATGCTGTAGCTCCAGTCTCACGGGTGAGATGGAAACGTGTTCCTGCAGCAAGGCTGGCTTGCCTGTGGCAGTGGGGGTAGCATCTCCTCGGAGGGGCTGCCTGTGGAGGGTAGAGCTCTCCCACCAACACTGGCTTGGTGCAAGGAGTGGACATGCTGGTCAGTGAGCTTTGGGGTTGCTGTAGAGACCTGCTGCCCTTCCAGCTGATGTCTCCAGTAAAAGAGAAACCAGATCTGCACCCTTCCCATACCACACCTGTCAGCTGGGGGCTTTGTGCAGGATGAGCATTTGAGGGAGGTGGGCTCTCTCTGGGTGATCTGTGTTGGGCCGGCACAGGGATGAGTTCCTGTGGTCTTTCATGCCACATGGACAGACTCAGGCTGAGGTGTATCCTGGGTTTTCTTGCTCTCTTGCCTGGCCTGCCCAGAAGAAGGTCACAGCCAGGCTGAACACTTGCATGCTGTGTGCATCTCTGCCATGCTTGTGACTCATGTGGCCAGCTCCCCTCACCTACACACACATTTGTGGAGGTGACACCAGGGACACAGTCCCATTGAGTTGGCCCAGCCCTCTGCTAATCTCTGCCCATCTTTCTGTCCCTTGGCTGAAGTGTGGCCTCTCCTGCTGGCTGTCCCCATTCAGCTAAGCCATGTGCCCATCTCCTCATTACAGGCACTCCAGGGAGAGGTGGGATTAAAGGATTATGGTAATGTTCTTCAGGAACACTCAAGAAGATTAAGATGGCTTTAATAAACTGATAAGAGAGGAACACAGCTCTGTTTCTGAAACCCTAATTTAGGTTCCAGGTTAACCTTTTCCCCTGGTCTCCTCTCACCGGGGTGAGAAGATCTCTTACTTTAACAGTGCTTCATGGCTCAGCCTCTTCCCTCGTTTTCCTTCTGACCCATCTGAGCAGAAGCAGAAAGACATCCTTCCTCCTTCTCTGGTCTTCCCAGGTATGAGGACATTACAGCTGTTTCTTCTCAGAGACCATCTCATACACAGCCTGCAAGGTGCTGTGAAGGTGCTATCAGAGAAGTTGCTTGTCTGCCTTTGACGTGGCTGAACCTACACAGAGAAGTCCTTGTGTCTTGGTTCTAATGCCAGGGTTACAGCTCCCCGTGACCACATTTTGCTGGCCAACTCCATCCCCTGTAAAGGGAAGAGGGGCAGAAAAGACTAACCTTGCCCTGCCTTCCCCCACATCTTTTGGGTGGAGCTGGGAGTGCGGCTGGTTTGATGTGTCACATGTGTCTGCAGAGGTTTATCTGCTTGCTCTGCAGGAGAGGGTTATTAGCTGACTTGGGAAACCTCATTTGTCTTCTCCAATCTCTTCCACCCAAGCTTCCGGTCATCTGCCAAACTTTGTGAAGGCCTTTTGTGCCTTGGTTTCTCTCAAGAGTTTTATGTTCATCAGGATCTGTTATCTTTCCTAGATCCCTCTGTGTTTGACACTGCAAAAGTTTACCCCTTGCTCACTATCTGGAGGTTGGATACCATGTTATATCCGGAGGAGCTCTGCAATGTTGGATCACTCCTTCCTTCCGCTTCACTCATCCCTCTGCCACTGTATTATTCTAGGTTTTTTTGTCTGTCAACTCTTTCTACTCCCTTTTTCTTTCTTCATTGTAATTGGAAGAGCCAAAAAACATTCACAGCCTGGTGTCCTGATGCTTAAGGGAGGCAGAAAGTGATTTGGGGAGTGGGGTGTGAAAGGAACACTAAGGGGAAAAGCTGGCTAATTTGCATCCTTTCTGAGTGCCCTGGCTCTATAGCCAAGGGACAGCAGGGGGGCTTCTGGCAAGGCGGTAGCAACGTAATGAGGTGTGTCATATCCCAGCAGGAGCCAGCCTCGCTCCCCCTCAGACCCCCTAATTAGAACTGTTTCAATTTTTAAGCCCCCCTGAGGAGAGCTGGGGGGAGCGGGGTTCCTGCAGCGGGGGGACCGCCCGATGCCTGCCGAGGGGGCTGCTCTAATTGGAATTGTGGCAAGGAGCTGCGGAGCGCTCCGTGGGGCCAGGCACAGTGTGCCAGAGTGCCACGGGGCTGCCAAAATGCTTTGTGCCAGGAGGGGCTGTCACTATCTCAGCTTCTAGGGGATTTTTTTTCCCTCCCATAATTTGTATTAACACGTTGGCAGAGGCAGCAGGGGTGTGATACAAGGGCAGAAAAGTACTGCACATCCTCATGTGGCCTCCCGTTGGGAGCTTGGATCCTGAGGCTGAAGTCTGGGATGTCTACTCCGACTTTGGGAGATAGGTCTGGTAGCGCAGGGAAGTTTGGGCTGTTAGCGCTGGAGTCATGAGCCAGAGCAAATGTTGGAACCCCCATCCTCACATTCTGTGGCTTTCCATTCTTTTCCTACAAGGTGGCAGTGTCCTCCAGGTTTGGTGGCTGGTTAACTGAGGTCCCCGTCATGTCACCCAGTAGCGTGTCTGACTCAAGCATCTTTTTTGTATCTTGAGCTACCATTGCAGTAGGTGCCTGCAGGTGTAAGAGCTAATGGGAGCTGCTGGCTTGCTCGGATCAGAGTGACTCTTAAGCCTCCTCTGGTCCGTGGACCAAATCCTGATCCTGCAGAGGTCAATGAAAATCTTTACGCTGCCCTTTTCAGGCACGTTATTCATAGTCGTCCTAATTCAGATGCATTAAAGCTTCCATGAAGCAGCTTGTGGGTTCTCTCTAAAACACCGTCTGGCAAGCACAAGAGGAGCTGGGTAGTAGCCCAGGCTTATTTTCTGAATGACTGCAGTGGCTTTAAAACCTAATGCCATTAAAACATCCTTGCAGTGACGTGTTCCATTAAAACTTAAGAGGACACCCTGAGCTGAATGCTCCCTAGCCTGCCTGCTGCTCTTGTAGACCTCGTGGGCTGGACATGGAGGAATCTCGTTCTTCTCCTCAGAGAGCACCAGGCTCGACCCCCCTCAGCTCCTAAGATGGTTATTTGCATACCAGGTACTCCTGTATGTGAAGCCACTTTCTAATTCTGCAAGTTAGGTGCTGAAAAGCAGAGAGCTCTCTGGGGCCATCTCAGTCCAAGTACAGCTTCCCAGCGCCTCTGCCTTGATGCCTGGCCTGTTTCTTGAAGACAGGAGTAAAGGCCAACTTGATTTCTTGTCTTCTGTTGACTTGCCAGGAGGCAAGCTGGCAAAAATACCCGTGAGCAGGCTCTAATAAACAGGCAGGTGAAATCCAGTGTGAAGTGGTTTGAGTGAGCAAACTTGATTTGGTGGTATGTGTGATGGGCCCCGAACTAGCTTTTACCTTGCAGCAGCAGAACCTTAGAGCTGAGCTAAGCTGCTTCTGTGAAACCATTAGCTCTGGGCTTGGCAGAGGTCAGAAACAGCAAATTGAGTGTGAGGAGCTGTTGTACTGGAAACAGGCAAAGGAGGTGACATCTTGCCCTGTGCAGGTCCCTGATGTGCCTGGCTCTCAAACATGGCACATCGGGGCTGGCCAGTGTGGCAAAAGGTGTCTGTCTGTGTAACTGGTGGCTCTGTAGATGCTTTGACCTGAAAAGCTCCTTAAAAATTAGGTCTAAATGTGGTAAGAACTGTGGAGAAGATTAGGGAACAGGCACATGCGGTCTTTTCTGGTGCAAGCAGTAGATGATGGAGGAGCCACCAGCTAGCAGATTTGGAGCAAACCAGGGGAAGGACTTCTTCAGTGTAATTGGCAAGCCATTCTACTCCCTACCACTGGCCAGTGTGCCTGTTAAATTAAAAGCTGACATGACTTCAAAAAGCAATTAGACAAATTTATAGAAGAAAGTTCTGCTGAGGGCTATTAAATACAAAGAGAAAACCTCTGGCTTGGGCAGCTCTGGAGCCACACATGCCAGCAGGCTGGGAGAACACACCTCGAAAGTGTGGCTTGTTGCACCCTTAGGTTCTGGTGAAGACATCCAGCTATCATCCTGCCTAGCTGATGGGTTGTTGTCTCCTTTCTTCTCTTTCCAGGTTCAGCACAATGAGTTGGCATTCTGGGCATTAGCAGCGTGAGGAGAATAGGACGGGTGCTGCCCTGCTCACCCCTCACCCCTCGCTCATTCCCCTTGGGGAGACGGGTGCTGGCGTCCCTGCCCTGCCCTTCCACCCCTTGCTCCCCACTTGCCATAGAGGGGACTGGCCCGTTATGGCTGGGGACAGGCTCCCACGCAAGGTGATGGACCCCAAGAAGCTGGCCAGCCTCCTGAGGAACGGAGCGGAGGGCACCCTGGTCATCGACAGCCGCTCCTTCGTGGAGTACAACTCCTGGCACGTCCTCAGCTCCGTCAACATCTGCTGCTCCAAGCTTGTCAAGAGAAGGCTCCAGCAGGACAAGGTCTCCATCACGGAGCTCATCCAGCCTGCCTCCAAGATGAAGGTAAGGGATCTGACCCTCACCTTTCCTGGTAGGTGCTCACACCCTCTTCTCTTGTGGGATGCAGACTGGCCTAAGGGATCCTTCCCCTCCATCCCTCGACCCCCGGTATCTGCCAGCATCTCTTTGACACCCTTTGGAGAGCTAAAGTGTGAGCTCATTTGGCCTCAGGGCTGTCCTCGGGGAGCTGTTCATTGCCCCCACCCCACTGACGTGGCTCCTTGCTTCAGGAGCCCTCCCCAAGCAAGTCTAACAGGTATATCAGCTTTAGGACTTGTCTTATGACAGCAAACAACCCCCCAAAGCCTTCCTGGAGCTGTAAACTTAATCCCCTGCTAAAAACTCTTCCCCTCCCCTCTGTCATCTCTAACTCCATTCAGGGACATGTAATCCTCCTCCCCTGTGACGCCAGAAGCTCTTATCCGGTGTCATGGCATATTATCTCTCCCAGGCTTCTCTCTATCGCCCCTGGTTAAATAATAGAGGTGGCTCCGAGCCACGGAGCTGGGCGGCCGGAGCAGTGCCGGGTGTCCCTGTCCCTGCCGAGCCGTGGGCTGGGTCGTGCCCTCCTGAGGTGCTGCCGGGGGCTGCTCCGGTGGGTGCCGCAGTGGCCCCGGGACGAGCCCGCGGCTGGCTCACCGTCCGGAGGGTGGCTTGCCATCACAGCCCTGCCAGTTCGCTCCCACCGTTCCCCCACTCCCGCCTTGTAATTTTATGGCAAAGCGAGGGTAATTCAGGCGATTAATCAAATGCTGGGCCCAGCTGGAGCCATCTGCGTCGTGTGTGTCCCCCCCCCGCCCCGCCACCCCGAGAAGCCGCCGCTGTCCGCATTGGCTGGCGGTGACATCACCCCGCGGGATCAAGGGGGCTGGCGGCGCGGGGGGGCGGCCTCGCGCCAATCTGCTTCGGGGATGCTCTGGGCTGGGCGATTTGGAGGGGATTGCAGAGACTGATTCCTGAACGGCTTTAGCTGCTCTTAAATCCCCTGGAGAATAAAGCAGAATAATCAGTTTTTCGCAAGCTCCGAGGAGAGCGGAGCGGCCGCCCTCCTCCCGGCGAGGGTCACCTCTGCAGTGGCCGCTGTCACGTGGAGCGGCAGCAGCAGCACAACAAGCGATGCGCAAGGGGGAGGAAGAAGAGGAGGATGACAGGGAAGGGGGAAGCGTGGAAGAGTTAACATCAGCTGATGCCATCCGCCTGCAAACCTGCAGCTCGCCAGCTGCAGTGGAGCAGTGGGCTCCCAAAGGGGCCGGCTGGTCCTTCCTGGCATTCCCTGCTCTGTCCCCATAGAAGGAGCTTAGAAGGATCGTTTGCTCCCAGCTCCTGGATCATTGCATAATGGTCCACATACTGGCTGGAGACATGATTGTAACCAGGGATGCTAGGGGAAGAGGAGTGAGGCGTTGCCATCGCCTTTAACTCCTTTTTGCTTCTCTTTTGGATGCAGCTGAAATCCCTCCTGGCACATCCATGGGCAGAAGGCTGCATGTCCCCACTGGTGCTGCTGCTCTGCACACACCCCTGCCGTGCCCATTGCTGGCTGGTTCCCCCAACACATGCAGCTCAGGAGTCAATTAAGCTTCAGGACACCCCTGAGAGGTTAAACCACTTGTCCTGGGAAGCTGGAAGGGCATACTGGGAAGGGATCACTGCTGTATTCTCATCTGGCATAAAGCAGGGCGGGTGGCTGTGGCTTGGGGTGTCCAAGCCTTTCTGTGCATGCACTTGTGTGTTTGCCTTTTGGGGTGATGAACTCTCTTCTCACCCTTTTTCCTTCTCCCCACCTCCCATTTCAGTCGGACTGTATTTTGGGACCCCGAGAAATCAATGTGAGGTGCACAGATCCTCAGAAGGGGATGCTGAAAGCTGATTTAGACCTCTGACACCCTGTGTCATTTCCCTGCCTCCTCTGCCTCCGCTGGTCAGCATCCCCCAGCCCTGCTGTGGCCCGGCTCCCGGTGCTGGGGGGCGGGGGGCACGGCTGGCGTGGGGAGCAGATGGCAGGAAGGGTGACATCAGTAGCGCGATTGTCCGGCCCCATTTATTCCTCCTGACGGGCCTCCCGCCCTCCTCCTGTTTCCTGCTCCCGGCCGGCCGGGGCTGCCGAGACAAAGGCGGATGGCAGCGGCGCGGGGCTGCCCGGGCAGCCGAAGGGCAGCCCCGAGTCCTCGCCTCGTCCCACTCCTCCTCCCTCCAGCAAAGAGCGCTGAACCTGCTCATCCCATCCCGGCGAGTCTAAGCGTGGGGCTCGCCTCCTGGGCAGGGAGACGGGCTGATACAGGGCAAAGCATTTGGGCAAACCCCACCTGGCCGCCAACGCCGCTCTCCTGCCTGCGTGCTGGCAGGGGGGGATGGGAGAATTTGTCTAATTTGCTTTTCCCAGTGCTTATTCTCTCCTTTTCCTTGTTGCTGTTAAGGAAGGGTGCCATTAGCAATGCTTCTGTGGGCTGCAGTTTGAAGTGATGCTGTCGGATAACAGCAGCTCCTGGCTTTTTTTTGGAGCGAGGAGAGGAAAGGACATTTGGGAGGAAAGAAGAAATAGAGACATTTAAAATCCCTTTCTTTTTTTCAATTAATTATGCCTATGATCCTATGATTGTGGCAGCTGCCATAGCCAGTGCTCCCCAAGCCCTGGTGTGGACCATCTTCCCATGGTGCCCAATCTGGGAAAAGCTGCAGCAGCAATTCCTCTTGCAGTCATTTCCCTCCACACAGAAATGGTACCAACATAACTGCTTCTGGTTGGTTTTGAACCCTTCTCCCAGTGCTGACAATAATAGACTCTCACAATAATAAATTCCGATAACAACTGGAATAATTCAGCTCCTCGGTGCAGTTTGGAGAGCAGAGGCTATGGGAAAATCCTGCATGGGTTTTTCACTAGCATTTCTTTAGGGAAATGTTGAAAGTTTTACTTCTTCAAGATCCCCCTGGAAAGTCCACCTCTCAACCACTTCTCACTTCCTGAAGTGGAGCAATCTCCAGAGCAACTGCAGCCATGCTTTGAGGCAAGACAAGGGTCTCTTCAGGTGATGGGAATATTTATTTGTTTGCATTAGGAGCTTGGCTCTGCAAGCAGCTGTTTTGCTTAAGGGAAAGCCAGGACTTATTTTTGAGCCTTGTGCCTGGCTGCTCTTTGTGTTGATGGAAGCCCTGTTATTTCAGTGGGGTGATTCACTGTGTTTTGAAACAATACGTGACTGAGATGTCAGTAGTAATTGGGATAATAATAATAGCTCACTCTTATCTTAGCCTGGATCACCTGTAGAGCATCATTATCCTTGCTTGGCAGCTGGGGAGAGGCAGAGCTGGGACCTGAGCTGTGTTAACCACACAGTGCTGGGGACTGATGTCCATGTGGGAGTTACCTCCAGCCAGAGCTGGGCACAGTGATGGGAGGCACAGGGCTTGGCACAAAGGCAATGAATCCATGGTCTCAGCTGGGGTTTGGTTGGAGCTGTTGGCCGGGTGGTCCTGGTTCCTGGCTGGTCATATCCCTCCAGCCAGGATTTTAGCAGGAGGGATGTTTGTTCTTGGGGAGCTGCTCTGGGGCACCTCCAGCCCTGGAGTGGGCCAGCAGCTTTTCAAAGGCATGCATGGGTTTGCAAGCCCCAACCAACATCTGTCTGGAGCCAAAAGACTTGCTTCATCTTGGCCCTCCTGTCCCTTGCTAGATGGATGTGGGGACCCTGTTTGGAGGGTGATGCCTGGGGTTACTTCAGCAGTTTTGGGGTGACAGCAACCCTGGTAAAAGTGTTGCTTTCAGAAGGATACCTCTGTTGTCAGCTGTATCCCTGTCCTATGCCAGCACCTGGCAGAAGCAGGAATATAGTATGGAGCATCTCTTCAGCTTTACCCTCCTCTGGCCCAGTTAGCTTTTAGCCTCCCTATGTTTAAAGCCAGAGATGGGGCATTTCAGGAGGGCATGAGATTAATGGGAGACCCATGTCTTGATTAAATGTCTGTGTCTTATTTCCCTTTGTGGTGAGGAGCTGGGATGCCAGTGCATCCTTGTATGCTCCATGAGGGCTCCTCAAGACCTTCCTGCAGGTATCCCCCAGCAAGCCAGGTATTTATTTTCTGCAGCCAGGCCATGTGAGGCCAGCACTTGTTTGGCATTTACATTGAGTGAAACCTTATAACTTTAATAAGATGTAAACCGTGTTGCACATCTCTACCGTCGCGCAGCAACCCTGCAGTAATGGCCCAAACAAAGCCTTCCCGTGTGGAGGGAACACTAAATCCTATTGTGGGATAATGCTGCTCAGCCAGAGCTGGTATCTCTCCTGCAGCCTCCTCATCCAGGACTGTGCAGCTGGGATGAGCTCCTGCCCCACCACAGAGTGGTTCCTGCCTCACTGTGCTTTTGGGGAAAGATGTTTTTCCTGGCATGGGACTTCACGGTGAGAACTGGGTGTTTGGGATGTGCTAGGGAGCCTTGAAGGGCTAGGCAGCTGCTGAGGTAGGTTCCCAGTTCTGAACCAGCTTGTCAGCCACCGTGTTTCCCTCCAGCTGTGCTTGTGACCTCCCACAAAAGTCCTGCGTCAGGATTGGCTGAGGAAAAGATGCTGGAGTAGATCCTCATCTGGCTTATCTCAGGTGGCTCCAGTCATTTTTCAGTGTCTTATTTTAGAATTCCCATGTCCTTTTCTCTTCCCTTTTATCCTGCCCTTTCATGCCTCCTGTCATCCTGCTGAGCCGTGGGGCCAGTTTTGCCTTCCAGTCCCCGGTGCCGGGCTGGGGACAGGTGGGTCCCTTGAGCCCCCCTTCCTCGAGCACAGCTGTGCGTGGTGCCCCGACGGGGATTTCTGTTGGTGCGGGGCTGTCCTTCCGCTGCGGCGCAGAGATGTGATGAGCTCAGCTAAATCAGTGCTCCCTGCAGTTTTATTTGGATGGTGCTCACGTTGCTGAGCAGGGAAGCACCTGCAGCAGGGTGTGAAAGCAGCATTATAATGACAGCAACCCTGAGCGAATCCGCTCTGGTGGTGAGATAGGGCTTGGCAGTGAGACAGCAAAACGAGGTGGTATCCATGAGTGGTACCTTGTTCAAGGGTCTCCTAAAGACATTTTGGAGAGGGCTTGGCACAGAGCGGCCAATGGGCAGCTCCAGCACTGGCTGCTGAGAAGAGAGCAGCTTGCACACATTCCCTCCTTCCCTGCTTGCTGCTGCCTCCCCTCCTCCCATGATGTGATGGATGTGCCTTACCCTGCCGGCTGGAAGGGTGGATGCTCTCAGGGCAGGTGTGTGCCGCCCACCCAGCTCTTCAGCAGATGAGCTGAGCTATGCCTCTGTGAGGGTTTTTATCTCCTTTTGGTGCATGGACCTTCAGGTAGGTGTGGGAGTGTCAGGCTGTGCCTTGAGTGCTCTCATTGCAATCCAGTCATCACCAGGTGTGGGGGAACTCCTGCCTGCAGGTTATCCCACCATCTCACCTGCCCCACTTTATCCCTGCAGTGGTGGGCAGCTAGGTGCAGTTTGTGGTATGCTCTCACATGAGAGCAGCCCAGGAGCTCCTTCCCCTCTTCCCAGTTTATCCCTGCAGTGTGCAGGCCCCAGCACACATTGCAAAAGGAAGAAAGAACATCACCTAGAACATCCACTAAGCAAAAGAAGAGATTTTCCCTTTCCTTCGGCCCTTAGGGGTGATCTGTTTGGGGTGACATGTAGTGGCATGGTGTCCCCAGGCTGAGCCCTGACGAGCTGTTGATCCAGCCCCTGCTGACTCCAGCCACAGCACAAGGGCTGTGCTGGCAGCACCCCTGTCTGCAGAACCACTCCCAAATCCCTGTGTTCTTGTCCTTGTGACGCCATCCAGGCTGAGGAAGAGTATCTGAGGGCAAAAGCTGGCTGGGGAGGAAGTGGTGGATGAAGTCAAGGTGATATCTGGGATGCAGTTAAGTAACAGCTAGCTGAGGGTGGGAGATGGGGAGGAGTGACGCTCTTTTAGGTAGGATGCTCAAAAGCACTCGTAGTTGGTGAGAGTGCGCCAGTGGGCACCTCTACCAACTCATTCACCTGCAGCCATGGAGCAGAGTCCCACCCTGGCTGGACTCTCCATTTGGTGGCCAAAACCAGCTTGTGGAAATGGTGCAGAGCTGGAATTTCCTGCTTGTGTGACCACTAAATTCAGCTTTGCTTCCCATGGTGCTGTGGAATCCTCAGTGCGCAGCCCATTTCTCTGATGCCCATTTTTTGCCACTCCCCTACAGGTGGAGGCAGAAGACCACCAGGACGTGGTGGTCTACGACCAGAGCACGCGGGACGTCACCGGCTTGGCTGCTGACAGCTTCCTCTCCATCCTCCTGGGCAAGCTGGACAGCTGTTTCCACAGTGTCTCCATCCTCACAGGTAGGAGCCCTGGGTTACCACTGCATCTCTAAGGGGCACGCATGCCCTTAGCCTGGAGTGACAAGTGACAGATCTGTGGCCGTCCGTGTCCATGTGCAGCCGCTTCCCTGGCCACCAGTGGCTGTGGTGGAGGCAGGCAGCCCTGCATGCAGGCTGAGGAGGCTCAGCCCACGCTGGCATCACTGGGTCTTCCCCATGCCTTCGTTCCTTGCACTGTCCATCTCCCTGCCAGCCAGGGTGAATGAAAGAGGAGGGTACAGAGGAGCTGTGGTGGCATGGATCCAGCCATCCAAAAGCTGCCCTTTGTTCTCCCATCCCTTGTTGCTTCATCCCTGGTCAATGTGCCAAGGATCAGACCCGGTTCAGGCACTCTGCTCCCTCTTGCTGCTGTTAAAGGGAGGGCAGGAGGAGAAATCCATGGATGTACTGGAAAAGAGAAGGATGGCAGGGGCAGAGGGTCATCCCTGAGTGAGTCAGGGTCTGCCGGAGATGATGTTCTCCGGGCACAAATGTGCAGGCAGGAGGAGGCACGTGCTGCCCTAATTACAGCCCTTCTGCAGTGAGGCAGGTGACTGATGAATGAAAAGCTCCAGCCCAACAAAGAGGAGAAGAGAGAAGCAGGGAACTGCCTGAGGGAGAGCTGAAGATGCCTTTGATTTCCCTTGGCTGGGACAGCCAGGCATCTGCTCTGATGGCTGCCTACCTTTGAGCTTTCTGCCATGGATGGGTGGGCAGGCACTGCCCAGTGCAGCCCCTCAGTCCCACTGAGCTCAGCCACGCTCCCAAACAGTGCCAAAAACACAGAGAGGGGAATCACCTCTGTCCCCCAAGCCTGTCCTCATCCTGTGGGAATTGGATACCGCTTTGGGGCTGAGGCAGAGGGTACCAACCTCTGTGCCCTGGGACACCACAGGGATGCAGGGAACTGCCACACCTGCAGAGTGGGAGACCCTGGGAGAGGGTAATTGTGGGGGAGAAGGTAGCACGGGCAAGTGGCATTCAGGGAGCCCTGCCCATGCAGGGCAGGGGTAAGTGCTGTTGAATTAGAGCAGCCACATTGTGGCGAGGAGAACAGAGCAGAGAAACAGCTGGATTAAACCCCCTGGCCCCGGGTTCTACCAACAAAACCAAGCAGGGACTACATTAAGTCATGTTCAAGCTAATTATTGTGTCCTGGGTTGCAGGAGCTCTGCTGAGGCCAGTGCTGGAGGATGCCTCCCTGAGCTGGCCTGCCTCAGTAGCTGTGCCTGTGGTTCCAAGGTCGCTGTGGCATGAAATAGGGTACAGCTTGGCATGTGGTGCAGGAGAAGGAAATGGTAGATTCAGCTGCATCTGGGAAGGAACCTGCTTAGTCATAGGGATGGGTCAGGAAATAGCCTTGGGGGTGTGACCCTGGCACCCCCTAACCCGCTGCCACTTTCCCAGGGCTGGGTGAGGAGCAGAGCTGTGTGATGGCTGCAAACCCCTGCCCCCCCCTCCTGAAGCCAGACAGGGCTGCGTGAGGTGTCCCTGAGAGCCCCAGAGCCTTTTCTTGCCTTAAGGCCTGGGGGAGCCTCGTAGTCCCAGTACCCCCCAGGAGCGTGCCACCCCCTCAGCCATCAGCACACCGCCACCAAACCCCTGCCAGCAAACCTACTGTCCCCCACTTGGGCACTCCTCCTCCATCATCAGGACAGCCATCTCCATCCTCCTGGGCTGCAGGAGCCCCAAGCAGGAGTGTGGGTGTGCTAGGCACCAAGCAAAGCTCAAGCCTCCCAAATTAAAAGCGCAGCAGGGCCTCAGCCTTATGTGGAACATGTGCCACCAGCAGGGGGAAAAACTGGAGCTGAAATGTAGAACACTGGGTCATGGCGGCGTGTTTCACATGGAAATCATGACTGGAATGGCTGTGCAGAGCATCCAGAGGAAGCTGGGCACACTTGCTGACAGGCACAGCTTCCTCCTGGCTGCGGTGGGCTGGTGTAGAGACAGCTCTGGAGTGCTTGGGGGGTCCAGGACAGGATGTGTGAGTGGGCCTGATTCTGAACCCTTGCCCTTGTGGGGTTTAACCCCTTGGTCTGTCCACTCTGGCCTCAAGCACCTTGTCCAGCCCCAACCCCTCTGGTGTCTCAGAAGTGCCTGAATTCTCCTTGAAGGTGCTTTGTGATCCCAGTGGGTTGGCAATCCCAGAACTGGGAGACTTTCAGCCTGTCCCTCAGTGGATGCCATTACCCCAGGGAAGCTGTGCTGAGGGTCCCCAGTTCAGTGTGGCAGCCCTGCACAGCCCCTCTGTGCTGCCCAGCTCTCTAGCCCCAGCAGATGCTGGGGTCTGTGCCTCCGTGTCCCCGTCTTGTGCAAACACCAGGCTTGGCTGTTCCTGCTCACCTCCAGGCCAGCAACCTTCTGACCCTTGGAGCAGCTGATGGAGGCTGATAGGTGAGGACAGGGGAGCTGGGGGTGGCAGGACTGGTGCCAGGGACTCCTCAAGGGTTAACAGCCCAGAAGCAGCGATTCCAGTGGTTGGCAGGGAAGAATCTGAGTCAATTATTCCCAGTCTTGGAAATCATCAGCTTCTCTTCTTTTTTCTTTCTTTTTTTTTTTTTTCTTTAATTGTGTAAGTATAAATAGTGCTGCTTGCTGCCCTCCATCCGTGGGAGCAGAAAGACTGTTGATTTATATGGTTTTCCTGACATCACATGAAGTGGTGGAAAACTGAATGGAGCCAACATTTTTCCTGCATTACGTAATGCCCCCTCCCTCCCAGCCCAGCTCTGCTATTCCTGCAGGAGCCTGACTGTTCTTTAACCTTTGTTTACTTCAGCACAAACCCTTGCTTTTTTGCTTTTTTTCCTGCTTTTTTTTCCTTTTTTTCCCTTCTTTTTTTTATTTTGCTATATTTTTCCTCCCTTATTCTTCCCCTTTGTAATCACCCGCTTGGTTTTTATTAAGAGGCATTATCTGCTTATGAAGCAGCAGCAGCAGCAGTCTGGCTCCATTGCTCCCTGACAGCTCCCATGTGCCAGCTCTGGAATGGGAGCCTGTCCAGAGCCGTGTGTGGTGCTGAGCTGGTGGGTGCTGAGCTTCACCAGCTCCTCTCCATTTCTCCAGCTGCAGCGGGCAGTGTGGAGATTTTCTTCTACTCCTATTCAGTGGCTAAAAGCGACAGCTGAGGGATGCTGGTCCACGTGATGCTCAGTCACTCATCCTGTCCCTACTTGTGGTCCTTAGGCTGAGCACCGGGCTTCTCTGTCCTGCACTCAAAGCCGTGTGCCAGCTGGAGATAAAGCCAGGATGGCAGTGTGGCCAGCAGTGGCGGCCCCACGGCCTGGGCTGCGGGGCTTGGGACCCCCCTTGCACGACAGAGGCTCTTTTTGCTCAGTTCCATGTGCTGGGGGAGCTTCTCCGCTGCGATATCGTGCTCCGACCTGAAACAGGCCCCTCAGTTGCGTTCTGAACTCCAGTCATGAGCTTTTCATCTGGCTCGGGAGTGCCTGTGAGATCATCTTCAGCGCCCCCCCCCCCTTTTGTACCAATTCTTCAAGGAATGTTTAAATTTTCCAGTCCTGTTCCTTCTAAATTTGGAGCGTCTGTTTACTCCCAGGATTCGGAAAGAATGTAACAATATCATCAGCGACAAATCCCTCCCAGCCCTTCACTCGCCATCCTCCTCAGCGAGCAGGCTGGCCCTGACCCAGCTCCTCTCCAGCCCGGCGGTGCCATGGCCCTCCAGCACGGCTGCCGAGACTTGTAATTGCATGGCTGCAGTCATCTGGGTGGGGGATGAGATTTGGGGATTTTGGGAAATCTACCAGAGACAGGTGACTTTGCCGCAGGCAGAAAGAAGTAGCAAGAAAGGAAAGGGGATTTCCATTGCAGGAGCTGAGTTGGGCTGCCCAGGCATGAGTGGGTTTAGCACTGAAGAGCTGGCTGGAATTATTTTAGACACAAGGACTCAGAGATAGATGATTTTAATTTAAAAAAAAAAAAAAAAAAAAAGGAAAAAACCTCCCCGAAAGTTGTAAAGAAAAACTTTTTTTTCCTGTATAGGGACAGTCCTAAAAAGAGGTTAAACATCAGGGTGACTGAACATGACTTTGCTCATCCTTGGCTGAAAATTCCGTAATACTTTTTCATGTCGTGTTGGTAAGAAGCCACATGCCAGCTACACATTTCCTTGCTGCCTGCTCCTTTTGAAACATATTGGGCTGGAGCTGTTCTGGAGGAAAAAAGAAGATGAATGAAAAAAGCCAAGCTAGGCAGGTGGAAAGCAGGGCAGAGGCAGGGCAGAGCAGCGGGGCTTGTCTTCAGTCTGAGTCTCAGAGGCTGGAGTGGCAGCATGTATGTCCAAAGGTTGTCACGGCATATGCTGAAGATAAAAGCTTAGCAGGATCCAGAAACAGGATTGAGGTATCTTTATAAACTCAGTGTAAGAAAAAAGAATAAACTAAAACCTAAGGAAGAAAATACCCCAAATACCCACACATTCATCACAGAATATTCTGAGTTGGAAGGGACCCACAAGTATCATCAAGTCCAATCCTTAAGTGAATGACCCATACAGGAATCAAACTCTCAAACCCATGGGTGTCACTAGCACAATGCTCTAACCACGTTAGCAAATCTCAGAGCTGTCTGATGGGAGTGGGGAGGCAGGACCTGAGTGCAGCTGGTGATTTGATGGTCACGTTCCTCATCACCCGCTCTGCACAGCATCACGACTTCACCTGTTGAGTTTGGGCTGTCATTGTGTCTGCTGGAGACATAGCATGTGCAAAATGCACTAGCTGGTGGGTTTTGTCCCCTGACTCCAGCAGAGCCTCTGCTCAGTACATGGGCCTGAAGGTGCCCTTGGAGGTCAAGCATTAGGGCTATTTCAGGTACCCTCAGGCTCTAATGTCTAAGAGCACTTGGGGACTTACTGGCATGAATCCATCAGGTATACCTAAAAGATTTTCCTTTAAGTCTGATGAGTGTCTCTGAACCTCCTGCAAGCACTTGTGTCCCCCTGTGGCCATCTCCAT